AGAAATTGGATTTGGAATTGCTGAATGCTCGCAGGCAGCTGACTGCACTCTTCTCTTCCCCAGGAGCGCTGCCAGCCGGGCTGGGCTGGCAGCGGCGCCCTGCTCTCCTCGGGCCCAGCCTGGGCTTCTAGCCGCAGCTCGCTCACGTCTCGCCGCAAAGTGGACTAGAACTAAAGTGTTTTGCTTCATTCTTCAGACACTGTGTGGTTTGGGGCTCGGTCAGCCAGAGGGGTGATTTGCAATCCACAGTAACTGGTTTCAGAGCAGCTGCCCAACGAGGCAGGTTTCATCTCGCTTACTAGACTTTGTTTTTGGCTCGCACCTTTTATTTATTAGACTTGGATTCCAGTTTGCTGAGCCATTATTGCCACTGTTTCAGATGGGCTTCTAGAGGGACCCACCAGGCTTCCTGAATAAAATACAGCAATGAATATATTAGTAGGTTTAAAATTGCCCAAATGTGGTCTAAAAATACTAAAAATATTGTTACTCTCTAGATTAAATAAAATCCTATAGAAATGAATTCCTTGACTTGAAGTGTAGTGAGCTGGCTTTGCCTCTGGAGTGAGTGAGTTCAGTTAAGTGGGTTAAATTAAGATAAGATCAAACATGGACGCGTGTTAACCTGAGAAGTGTCTTGGACTCTATGTTAGAGAGCTCTTCTGTAAGAGACCCGCCCTCCTATGTCAGTGGCCCACGGGACAAGTAGGCACACAAAGATCACGTTTGGGAAGGCTTGGGACCATGCCAGTTAAAGGAAGCATTTTTGAGACAAGAAGGAAGCGGAGCGCATCACCTCCATTGCACGTTGCTCTGTGCCAGGCATTGTTCACACGGTCTCGTTTGCCCAAAGTCACGGGCGGCTGATGTTGGGGTGGGCGCCCAGGACATGGGGGTGCCGAGTGCTGGGCAGGAGATCTCGGGCTGACGCTTGCCAGAGCTGGAGCACCTGGCTCCCCAGTCCCCCGAGATGCCCTCTGTGGACCTGTACAGGCCACCCACAGGCAGCAGGACACGGAGAGGCCCCCTCTCACAAGCCGTTCCCCAGGGCCGGCAGCCGCGGTGCTGTGCAGTCACGCCGACCCCGCAGGCCTCACTCCAGTATCCACACTATTCAGGGGGGCTTTCGTCGCGATATCGTAATTGCTGTGGCTCTTTCCCTGTCCAGGCATTTCTAATTACAGACGCTCCTGTCCTGTGTGACGGGTGACAGATGACGAGGGTCGCCCCGAGAAGAGCACGCAACCAGGACTGAGGCGGCTGGCAGGAGGGCTCTGGGGCTCAAACCTGTAATTTGGGGTCAAACCAAACAGATGATTAGCTGGGGGTTGTCCCTTTCAGTCAAGAGTTTCATGTTGTCTGGACGTCTCCTCATAATCCAGCCAGTGGGGCTTGGTGGCGAAGCTCACGGCAGATGGGATGCGAGGCCAGGGCTGCAGTTGGGAGCCCTCAGCTATGCCTCGGTCACCTCCCTCGGAGGTGAGGAAGGGTTTTTCTACATATTCTGAGGGCTGGTATTGGAATTGAAAAGTAAAAAATAATGGTTGTGAATACCATTTGAAATGTGAGGTCTTCCATTTGCAGACTATGGAGTTGCTGTCTAGAGGATTTGGTGGCAGGCCAAGGTCACACAATCATGGCGGACCTGGGACTGGAATCCAGTCTCCCGACTTAACGTCCCGTGCAGCCTGCGGCCAGACTGCACTGCACCCTCCTCCCTGGGTGCAGCCCTTGTCTTCTGTAATAGGAATCAGTTTTATCTTGCTGATCCAGAGATAGTCATCAAGGAAGATTAAATTATGCCCCACAGATTCATGACCATATAATTTTCTCTCCAAATGAGGACACTTTTGAGAATGAAAAGAGAGAGATGACCAGACCAGATGCTGGAACGAGAAGCACGGAGAGGGCTGTCTGGGCGAGTAGAAGAGCGATTCCCATGCATCTGAGAAAGATTTTCAAAAGACACCTTGGAAAGAGGTGTGGGTACTTAACTTTCAGTTAAATATAATAGAAAGTTTAGTGAATTAAAACAACCCCTTCCCTAAACATTCTAAGAATGACCCAGTGCTGCCAGTCCTGTTAACTGTCTCATAGTTGTGGTGACTACCTAAGATGATGCAAATGATTAGTTATAGCAAACACTCAGAAAACATGCTATTGCACAGATAATCCCATAACATTTCCTAGTCAAATCCCCTGGTGCCTGGGCAGTTTCCTTCTTTTTCCAAGAGAACTATACAGTTGAAAACACCTGATAGCTCTTCCCCACTCCCATGTGTTTGCAGGAGGGTGGTTTTGGTTTCAGTTTTTCTCTAAAAGTATAGTCTTTGATGTGCATGTGAACATTATGGTTTTGCCATAGATACGCGCAGCACCACCTCTGCACATTCCCAATGTTTTTTCCACATACCTCCTCCAATAAGGAGGGACATAAGGAAAAAATTCATTGAAGTTTCAATCAGGATCACTATTTCATCCAAAAACATGGCTTAGAAATCCAATACTCTTGCCTTGGGAGTTCAGAGAACTTCAATTCTGAATCAGGCATCCCCGGATATTTAGCTTTAGCAAAGCCCCCAGGGGGATTGGATAAGAAGCAGGGCTGTGTCTGGACTCTGGACTATTTTGATACGGCTTCAAGCCCCACCCAGATGCCACACACCTCTAGAACACAGCGTGCAAGCCTTCCAGCCGTGGCCCTGCAGCCACCTGAGAAGCTCTGGGCAGACACTGACGGCCCAGGCCCTGCCTGGCATTCCGATTTCATCAGCCTGAGCACTGTCTTGGTGGCAGGGGCTTGAAAAGCCCCCCAGGTGACGCCAGTTGGTAGCCAGGGCAGGAAACTCTGCTCCAAAGATAGACCAGTGATGGAGCCTTTCCTTTTCTCTCCACATTTAAGAACCTCTTTTTAATTTAAAAAGTAGGACATGGACAATCTGGAATATTAGAAAAATAGAGAAAAGTGTAGTGTAATAAATAAATCTCACATAATCTTGTCACGCAGAAATAGTCATTATTAATATATTAGTGTGTGTTTTACTCATAGTATATCCTGAGAATTTTTCCATGACATTTAATATTTTAAAAGATGTTTAATTATTTTATATTTGTATGCAATAACTTATTTAATAATTCCTTAATATTGGATACTTAGCAGTTTCTTTAAAAATACTAATTTTTTAAAAATCTGTGTTTCTCAGAAATCAGAGGCATTCATATACGCCAACAACAATCTAATTGAGAACCAAATCAAAGACTCAATTCCCTTCACAATAGCAACAAAGAAATTAAAGTACCTAGGAATATATTTAACCAAAGAGGTAAAAGACCTCTACAGGGAGAACTATGAAACACTGAGGAAGGAAATAGCAGAGGATGTAAACAGATGGAAATCCATACCATGCTCGTGGATCGGCAGACTCAATATCATCAAAATGTCTATACTACCCAAACTGATCTACAGATTCAATGCAATACCTATTAAAATCCCATCAGCATTCTTCACAGATATAGAAAAAATAATTTTACGCTTCGTATGGAACCAAAGAAGACCCCGAATATCAAGAGCAATTCTAGGCAACAAAAACAAAATGGGAGGCATTAATATGCCAGATATCAAACTATACTACAAAGCTGTAGTAATTAAAACAATATGGTATTGGCACAAAACAGGAATATTGACCAGTGGAACAGATGTGAGAATCCTGATATAAAACCATCCTCATATAGCCATCTCATCTTTGACAAAACAGACAAAAACATACGCTGGGGAAAAGAATCTCTCTTCAATAAATGGTGCTGGGAAAACTGGATAGCCACCTGTAGAAGGCTAAAACAGGACCCACACCTTTCACCTCTCACAAAAACTAACTCACGCTGGATAACAGACTTAAACCTAAGATATGAAACTATTAGAACTCTAGAGGAAAAAGTTGGAAACACTCTCCTAGACATCGGCCTGGGCAAAGAGTTTATGAAGAAGTCCCCAAAGGCAATCACAGCAGCAACAAAAATAAATAAATGGGACATGATCAAACTACAAAGCTTCTGCACAGCCAAAGAAATAGTCATGAAAGTAAACAGACAACCTACAGAATGGGAGAAAATTTTTGCATCCTTGCATCCGATAAGGGACTGATAACTAGAATATACTTAGAACTCACGAAAATTAGGAAGAAAAAATCAAATAACCCATTAAAAAGTGGGCAAAGGACTTGAACAGAAATTTTTCTAAAGAAGACAGAAGAATGGCCAACAAACATATGAAGAAATGCTCAACATCTCTAATCATCAGGGAAATGCAAATCAAAACCACAATGAGATATCACTTAACCCCAGTGAGAATGGCCTTTATCAAAAAATCTCCAAACAATAAATCTGTGCGTGGTTGCGAGAGAGAGAGAACACTCCTATACTGCTGGTGGACTGCAAACTAGTTCAACCTCTGTGGAAAGCAATATGGAGATACCTTAAAGCGATCCAATGAATCTACCATTTGATCCAGCAATCCATTGCTGGGCATCTACCCAAATGATCCAGGACACTCTACAAAAAAGACACCTGCACTCGAATGTTTATAGCAGCACAATTCATAATTGCAAGGCTGTGGAAACAGCCCAAGTGCCCATCAATCCAAGAATGGATTAATAAAATGTGGTATATGTATACCATGGAGTACTATTCAGCTCTAAGAAACAATGGTGATATAGCACATCTTATATTTTCCTGGTTAGAGCTGGAACCCATACTACTAAGTGAAGTATCCCAAGAATGGAAAAACAAGCACCAGATATATTCTCCAGAAAACTGGTATTAACTGAGTAGCACCTAAGTGGACACATAGGTACTACAGTAATAGGGTATTGGGCAGGTGGGAGGGGGAAGGAGGGGGTGGGTATATACATACATAATGAGTGAGATGTGCACCATCTGGGGGATGGTCATGATGGAGACTCAGACTTTTGGGGGAGGGGGGGAAATGGGCATTTATTGAAACCTTAAAATCTGTACGCCCATAATATGCCAAAATAAAAAAAAAAAAAAAAAATCTGTGTTTCTAACTTTATAACAAGAAACCATTGGATTTGATGTAGCTGGGAAATTCATTCTCTTCAATAATATCCATTTCCAATAGACTTAACATAATAATGGGATTATTTGTATTTTGCGATTTTTCTGACATTACAAAAAAAACAATATATTCTTACAACCTGTGTAAATATCAGCTTTTGAGAGGAGGAAGTTGTGTAGAAATAATGAAACACTGCAGCTTTTTATTAATATTTGTATTATTAAATAAGTTCACATGAGAATTTTAGTATGGTTTCAAAAAATATCCAAAGTTAAAATATCACCAAGACTCTACTTAGACAAAAAGTACAGTAAAAGTGTGCCAGACACCATACAGGCTTGACTTCTTTTAACACCTCTATGGGCTTGTGAATAAGGATTGTTTAAATTGTATTTTATTTGCCAGGATTATTGTCAAAACACCAACCACATTGCCCAAACTGAGTAAATATTCAATCAATGGCTGCTGTTTTTATGAATTCTGTTTAACAAATATTTATTTTCCTGCACTGAATTTAAGAAGTTATATTTATCATCACCTAAGATTTTAGCTATTCTAATTTTAAAAAATAGATTCTATAATCAATCATAGGGTGGAAGAGTGACACATAGTTCTCTAAATCTCACATGTTTCCTGGAAGCCTTCTAGAAGGTGTGGCATCCACATGGAAGACCAGGTTTTACCTCCCACCCACAGTCTTTTCAAAGACTGCAGCTACCGACCCATAGTTTATTTCCATGGAGTCCATGGACGACACCTGGAACTCCCTGTGTGCCGCCTGTCTCCCGTCTAATAACACCCCAATGCAGCACGCCAATGTCTTTGCTGGGTGGTTTGACTGGTTGGCCCTGGGAATGCATAACTGCAACGGGGAATAACATCAGGAAACTTTATAGATGTCGGGGCCATCACGTGTCATTGTAATTTTAAGTTTAGAATTATGTGTGGGGTCTGTGTAGGAAGATGCATACATACAACCACACTTCCAAAGTGACTTCAATGGGCCTCTGAAGTTTGAAATAAAAGTATACCTAAGCAAGGGTTCAGAGTTTGTTATTAGCATACTCAATTTGGGATGGGGTAGATTATGTGGGTTCATGGTTATTGTTATAGCCATACTCATTTGACACTGGAAAACATATGTTAATAATCATGCTAGGAAAAGAAAGATTCTCCCAGGAAAAGAAAGACTGCACAGCATCAGTTCAAGAAGGTCATGCATTTTCTTCATTTAAATAACTCTGACTTGCAGGTATATCCCTTGATCTCAAGCTCTGGGAGTGTTGGGCCTTGAAGCCATCTCTTCCTCTGCTCAGGCTGTGAGGTTTTCATGCCCACCCTATGCTCACAGTCCACCTTGGAAGCTCTCCACAAATAACCCAGCTACACCAAGCACCTCACCTCCTGCAGGCCACCCAGTGAGAGGCAGTGACATATCCTGAGCTGAATCATAGCATCCTGGCTTCTTCAGGAACCTGCCATCATGTACCCTGTAGGGCCCATAGGTGCTCCCTTCTGAAGACCTGAGATTGCCTTCCACCAGCTTTGCTCATAGGGAGCAGCTCTCTAAAGTTTTTTCAAGTAAACTTTCAATTCAAGTATAACTCAATTCAGAGAAGCACATAAGCCAAAGATGCCCAGTATGACGAATGTCACAAACCAGTCGGCCCTTGGCAACGGGCACCCAGATCAAGACCACGGGCACCATCAAATCCCAAGACCACAGGCACCATCAAATCCCTGTCTTCCTCTTGGGAGAGGGTCACCACTGTCCCAGTGCTAATGCCATGGGTCAGTTCTGCCCATTCTTGAATTTTATATACAGTATATTCTCCTTTGCATCCAGTTTATTTCACTCAACATTACGTGTTGAAATGTTTCCTGTGCTGCTCTGTGTAGTTGCGTTTCTTCCCTTCTCATAGCTGTGTAATTTCTGGTAAGAGAGTGTCACGTTGCACTTATCCATCTTACCACGGACATTTGAACTGACATTTCCTTGCAGTTGTGAGTCTGTGAACATTGTCACACAAGTCTCTGGTACACTTTTGTATGCACTTGTGTTGGGTACCTCAGAGTGGCATTGCTGGGTTGGAGAGTACTGGTAGCTAGAGTAAACTTGATAGATAGTACCAAAATGTTTTCCAAAGTGTTTATAGCAAACCTCCCCAGCAGTGTTTGAGAGCTTCAGTGGCTCTGCCTCTTCCCCAACTCTTGGTATTGTCTTTCTCCTTTAAACTATTCAAATGTGTGTGCTTCCTAGAAATTGAATGACTAAAACTTTCCACCTTTTTAAATTCATAAATCTAGCCTGTAATGCCAAGGAGGCAGCATGGAGCTACAGACAGTGTACACAGCATGGAGCCAGGCAAATAAAGCCCTTAGTGCTACTATTGCCCCTTGGCCATCTGAGTACTTTCATATGTCTGAGCCTCAGTTTCTCCTTTTGTGAAATCAGAATAAATCACTGGATGGAGTGAAGATTAAATGACAAAGTCTGTAAACAGCAAAGTTCGAGGCATACTAGATTCAATAATGGCTTGTTCCTTATACCCTACTCCCTCTAGATTATTTTCTCTTTATTTTTAAAACATAAATTCATATTTGCTACAGAAAAGCTTGCTCCTTTAGGGAAAGCATGAGGGTCTGAATTGCCATGGGCCACAGTCAGCCAAGGACAACAAGGTGACATGTAGCCTCTTCTGCGTTGTCCTCCTCCTAGATCATGTGAATTTTCATAGTTTTCCCATTTATAAAATCATGGAGAGTGACACTTAAAAGAGAGCTGGGAAACCATCCAGCCCAACAGCTCACATAACTGAAACAGTAACTGAGTCTCCACGAGGCTGAATGACTCCACCAAGACCTTGCAGGTGGCTTGTGGCCCAGGTACAACCAGAACTCAGACCCAAGTGCTGTTTCTAGCGCTCTTTACAAAGCATTTGGTGCCTCTAATAAGTCATAAGTCTATTTTTAAGCAATAATGAAAATCAAAATAACTTCTGATACATGCAGTTACTTTAAAGCAATAAGAAAATTTACAAATTGTTCATAATAGTCCCTAAAAGATTGCTGTATATGTCTTCTACATCAATGATTTAACTTCTCAGCAAATTTGAAGGGAAATTGATCCTTTTAATTCATATGTTTATAAAGTGGGTTATTAAGGCTGTGGTTAAAAGCTGTCTTGCCACCCTTTTAGATCAGTAAATGTGTGTTCAAGGAAGGAGTGAAAGGATAAGAAATGATAGTGCCCAGTGAAAGGTGTCTGGCAGGGAGGGGCACTTCTCTGGGAGACCCACCCTTTGTGACTCCCATGTTCAAAAGCTGTTTGTTGTTAACACAAAACAAGGACACTTGTGGAAAGTGGAATGACCTTGGCCATGGCTGCTGCCACCAGGGGAACATTTAACACTAGCAAAGCTGTGGCAGCCTGGAGGAACTGCTCTCAGAGGGCAGACTCCTCTAGGGAGCACGGCCCTTCCCCCGTCCTGGAACCGCAGCATGGGAGGCAGTCCAGCAGCCGCCTCGCAGAAAGCCCTCAACCGAGCCGCGGGTGAGTCGGCACCCCCTGAGCTTCCGCATCTGTGCGATTTGTGCAGTAGTAATTGTGAGTGCCTAGTCAGAGCTATAGGAAATCACTGGTAAGGTGCATATGTGAGGCTTTAGAAGTTTCAAAAGCCTAGATTTCATGGACCAAAAAATCCAAGAACTTACTGTAATTAGGACCTCAGTGCTGAACCCAGGGAGCCGGGTTGGTTTGGAGCGTGCGCCTGTGCAGAGCCGGCCCTGGAAAAGCCAACACGAGAGGAGGCTGCACCGAGTGTGCGCTGACAGCACCTCGGCCTGTCTGTGGCCTGCGCAGTGGCGGCTGTTAGAATTGCGTCGTAATTACACTTGCAGATTTTTGGAGATTTTTAAAGGTCCTAGCACAAGTTAATTTTTAATTAATGAATCCTTTATTTGTCTGCAGAAGATGCTTAAAAGGAAATTGCCCCTTCAGGTTTTAAGCCAGGTGGGCTCAGTGGGTGACTGGAGCTGCCATCCTGGAGAGCAGGTGGGTGACGCAGGTAGGCCAGCCTCTGAGTGTGCCCTGCCCTGGCTGTTGTCCAGGTGTGTCACCTCTGCATTAGCCATTCAGCAAGCGTGCATCAAGCTCCTACCAGGCATCAGTTGGGCAGCCGGCACCGGACTGGCTTGGAGCAGGTGGAACAGACCCTTCCTGCCCTCCAGAAGTGCCACGTCCACTGCATGGGACAAGCCAGTCAGTCGTCAGAGCCCTGGGAGAAAGCCCCGGGGGAGAGGAGGCTGAGCTGTGACCTTTCTCAGTTTTCTCCTTTTTCGATGGTGCAGACCACAGGGCCCATCAGCACCAAATGCTTCCCAAAATGTTCCCTATTGATGTTCTCTCAGTAGCAAACCAGTGGGAAAATCCGTTCTTTGACTTCAAAAACTCAAACTAGAAAGCTAGAGTTTAACTTTAAAACTAAATGTTAAAAGCAATTTTATTAGCACATCCTACCTTTTCCCCAAAGTCAAGGAGAAAAGAATAGGGGTCAGCAGGGGTGAGGAGGACCTCTGCTCCCCGCCTCCTGCTCATTTTATAATTAAAATGTTATATCTATCATGGCAGGAAAAGAAAGGTATCATTATTGAGACCTTATTTTGTATGTCTAATCTGGTAAGACTATGAATGCTGTAAAATTCATTTTTAATTAATAATGACGGGCCTTTTGAAAGCGTTGTCTACTAATGTATTGAGTACTGTTTCTCCATGCGCAGTATGGAGAAAGGTGGCCCCTCCTGGTGTGAGACCGCAGGCTGAGTGCGGCCCGGTGCTGCGCCAGCCCCACCTGCGGGCTGTTTCAGAAACAGGGCAGAGCCTGGCTCTGGCGCCGCACAGCTCCAGTGACTATCCGCCGTCGGGAAACTGGGTTTTCATGTCCTTGGCGGTGGTGTTCTCCCAGCAAATACTGAGAGAAGAGAATGTCATGGTGTACCTTCTTCTCCTATCTCGTGTCTGAATTTATTCAGGATACATCTCTGTTCCAACCACTTCACCCAAACTCAGCTAGAGAAGGCTCAGAAAGAGTTATCACGATGATCTCTGTGTAAAAAAATCTGTGGAATGCCTTTCACTCTTACCTGGTGTGGCGCTTGTGTGGCGTTCGCAATGTGGCCGTCTGTGTTTGACCCAGCCTGGCCTGGCTCTCCTCACTCACGCGCTGTCCTTATCGGTGTCTGGAAAGGCCTCTCCTGCTCGCAGGACTCGCCCCTGTCGCGATGGGTGAGCGCCGAATCTCTCGAGCGCATCTCCTTCGCCTGGAGTGCTGGAGACACAGAAGCCCTGCGCCTCTCGGAGCCTCAGAAAGTACCTCTTAACAAGACCCTGGGCAATCTGTGTGTCCATCAGTGTTTGAGAAGCACTGGTCCAGGGAGTGCGGAGGCCAGCGTTCCAACTGGACGGCCAGGTACAAATGCTGAATCTTGCTGTTTCTCGCAAGCCAAAGTGGACTCGCTGGGGCCAGAACAGGCTGTTCATTCTCACTTTTTCTGTCATGTTGCCATGTCTCTCTGTGAGTTCAGGGGCCACCCTCCCTGGCAAGAGGACTACAGACAGGATGACCCCCAGCAATCTCTGGTAGCACTCTACAAAGCCTGTTCTCTGAGTCTCAGAGGAAGCCACCCATCCTTGTGACTCCTGCTCACCTGTCTGCACATGGACAGCCAAAGAAGGCTTATTTGTGACCAGTCCCTACTTCCTGGTGTTCTGCACGAGTAACTCGGCTTACTACATGGATATTGAGCAACTTTATTGATGATAAACGAAGTACTTTCTTAGTTTGACAATAGTCCATTCTTTCATTTGAAAGTTATTCACATTTATATTAGTAGTGAAAAGAATGTACAACAATGGGGGCATCTAAGCAGGGAGGACCCGTCCATAATGGCATCCTCACCTTTTCCTTTAAAAAGCCAATGTGTGCTGGCCTGAGAACTAGTTGCTACAGTCTGTTAGGTCCTCCTTCCTTTCTAAATTGTGGCTCCACAAGGACAGAGACCATTCATTCATACCTCCAGCAGCAGGCGCAGAGCCTGGCACGTGCCCAGCACTCAAAATGCGTTCGATGAATGATGAGCTGATTAGTTCTCCTTGGAAGGTTGTTGACACAGCTTAAAATGCTTATTTGGAGTGGAGGATGCTCATCAGGCTGCATATTATTATTATTATTATATTTTCCATTGGTTACAGTGCCTACAGACTTAAAAGGCGTTAATATTGCCTGTAAGAAAGAAATGTTGATGGAGGTGAATCAAAAGGCATTATGGTTAGGAACTTGCCAGATGTCATTTTTGGGAGATTAGATAACTCTGTTTTCTGGTAAAGTGAATTGCCTGTTTGTTGCAAGTTAGGACTTTGCTGGACTGGTTTACAGGGCCAAGGGGAAGAGATAAGTAGATCTCCTAGTTAGAGGTCATCTGTTTTGAAAGCCTGGAAGATTCCATGAGCGAAATCCAAGTGTTACAACACAGAGAAATGTCTCAGACTGTGCAGGGTAATGAAGTCTCCAATTTAACATGAAAACAAAAGCTCTTCCCACTCTCCTCTTTGGAAAGCCCATATAATCCAAACCTCTGAGTGCTTAGATGTTTATGGCCACGAGTAGATTTCAGGGGAAAAACCTTTGATCCCAAGGCGAAAGTAAATGCTGTTTAGCAGACTTCGGGGAAAGGCTGCTGCTTCTCTCGCTGCCTCTGCTGGTTCCGAACGCCCTTCAGTGGAGGAGCAAAATGGGCACTCCTGCTCCTCGAGCAGGTGTAGTATGTCATGTCAATGGCATCATGTGCTTCCTGATTCTTCCGTGACAGCTCAGCCATTAGAAGAATGTCTTATGCATTTTCCCATTTTCCTTGATGGGAGGGGTAAGAAGGACCTGCCCTTCAGGAGATGCCAGCAACTGGACAGTGCGTTCGGCTGCCCTGGCGTCCTCTCAGTCCTCTGCACAGCTACCCACACGGTGACTTTCCTCCTCCCGCTGAGCTCCTCGTTCAGAGAATTACCATTAGAAATAGACCAGAAATACAATACTCTGCAGCGTAAGGGTGGTTTTGTCTTTTGATTTGGATTGCTGAGCCTTCCTGGGTAACTCGCCTTACCAGAATAGAATAGCATTTAAGGGATGCAACCAAGTTTGTGCCGTAATTAATCCAGTTATTTAGGAATGTATTTGGCATCTTTGCGTGGTGGTGGCCTTGACTGAGAATGGGCACCGTCTGGGGCTGTTCTGTGCAGTGGCTCCCTCCCGCCCAGCGCAGGCCACGGAGACTTCAATCCATGTTAGAAATTTTTACTTGTTCTTTACTATCCAAAAAAGATTTGGAGTGGAGTCTGGGCCCACTTTCTGGGCTCATTTGTCATTCCTTCAGTGGCAGCAGCACTGAGGTGCCTGTGCAGCAGGGAGACCCGCTAGAGGAGTCTGCTGCCTACAACACTGAGACCTTGGAGGACCCAGAAGGCTCTAGCCCTGATGTCTTCACAGCCGAGTCTCTCTCACCCGCGGCCATTCCACTGTCACAGCCTTGCTCATGGAGCACAGCAGTGCCCAGCTGTCCTTGGCCTTCAGTAACATGTCTTTTCATCTTGTCCCACTCCTCACTCCCTGTTCACCACTCAGCCCTGCAGAGACCGGGGCACACTGAGCCATGGAAGGCAGGGGAGGAGCCGCACAGCCCGCCACCTGTGTAGAGTAAATGTGCAGCTTCCTGCCCCAGCTCTGCAGGCCCTCAAGGCAGCCACCAGTGTGTACCTTCCCTTCCTGCCAGCACTGGGTGCCCCTGCCCCGCAGAGGCTATTCCACCTCGCTCCGAGGATGTGCTGCATCACTTTGTCTTCCTGCCGCCCCACCTCTGTGCCCTCTCGTGCTCTATTCCCTTTGCCCTCTCTCCCCTTTCCTCCTCTGCTCATCTCCAGATCATTCTTCACGTCAAAGTTCAAGCACCAACCCTTTGGGAATCCCTCCTCAGTTATCCATCTGACTGAGGGCCCCTCTGTCCTCTCTTGGTTGAAAAGCAGCAATTTGAGCAGCTGCTCCAACTTCCTTTCCAGCATGTCACACGAGCATGACCGCCACGGCCTCTGTGGGCTCTGTGCAGTCCAGCTGATTCACTTTTCTGTCTCTGCCATTTGCCCGAGTTCCTTCAGTGCAGGGGCTTGCGTTCAGTAAGTGGCTGATCAATAGATGAACTGATTAATTAAGGAGTGGTTTATAGTTAGTGTAGTGCAACCTTAAAGGCAAAGATCACAGTCAAATAATTCATGTGGATTGTTTCAAAAGAATCACCAGGCTAATCCATGGTCAGCAAAAATCAACAACACCAGGTCATGAATTACTGTTTTGTCTATGGGCTTGCTGCAGAAGATTCAGAGAATGATCCACATAGTTCCCTCCATTTTATCAGGCTGTGTCTTAAATGTCATGTCTGGGGGAAAACCGTGATAAGTGGTTATAGACCTTTCCTGTTATGACCTGGTAAGTTTCAGATTAATTCATGGAATGATGATAACATTGTGACCAAAGCCAAGAGATTAAAAAGTCATTCTCTAAGACATAAGTATCTGTTTAATCACTCAAGATATTAATTCTGAAAATTAACTTATAGTAATTGACACAATCATTCCTTTTACAAACGAACATAAAGACAACTAAACTAAAGGTACTTCATATCATAGGTCCTGGAAAGAATGTATTCTTCTCCTAAGCTTTTGGTCTTTATACTTCTTTTTGGTGTAGAGTTTGTAGGAAGATGCATCCCTTCATACTTGAAATGCCCCTTCTACAGAATGTCTTTGCAGTCTGCTTGTGCACACAGGCAATTGTGGGCAGCAGCATGGGGCTCCACCTTCTGTGTCATGTGCTTCATTTCATGGGGTGCTGCAAGGGGAGGTTTGCAGCTACGATATCTCACTAATACGGATGTCAGTGCAAACCCCAGAAGCAGTTTTGAGGGGAAGCCTGGAAGAGAAACTCCGAGAGGGATGGGAAGCAGGGAGAGGCACTGAAAGGCCAGGGAGCAGGGGTTTCCCACGCGGACCCTAGAATGGAGGTTCTGCGTGTGTGTCCACCTGTGTGTGTATGTGTGGGTGCATGTGTGTGTATGGAAAGTTCTAGAGTCCAGTTGGGGAGAGTACATAAAGATTTGGGGATATTAACAAAAAAGCTATCGCTTAAATTACAGGGGAAAACTTTGCTCTAGATTGGTCATGGTTATAAAATGTTCAGACTTGCTGATACTTTTTCTCTTGTGGTATTGGCACAAAATGTCCCTGTGACATTCCATAGAACTTCAATCAAATCCAAAAGCTTTGTTTCGGCATGTTTTATTGATATCAATATATTTCAAATCTCTACCAGGTTTTTGTGGAGGTAGATTAGCCGTGAAATTGACTGAGTCATTCAAAAGGGAGGCTGAATGCTACATGAGCACAGGCCGAGGCTTTGGAGACTCTTAGCTTAGCTCATGAGCTGTCAGGTTTTAGCTGTAAGATCACAGTGGTGTTCACAATATTCTTTGGTTTTAGCCTACAGCTGGAAATATAGAGGCTCCTGTGCTGTTGCCGTGGATCTCAGGATTTGTATGAAATCTGTGTAATCACTGATATGCAAGGTGAGGTAGGGCATAACTGACTCCAAGGACAATCCCTTGGGACAGCGCAAGGGCTGATTCCCTCCAAGATGAGAATAGTCGGGACCCATAACCTTCAGGTTGCCCACTGGGTGCTCTGATTTCATCTACTGTCAGCAAAAGGGGCCAAACACTAAGGCTGGCAGCCCCTGTCCCAGCCTGAATTCAAAGTCTGTAAATCAAGGCCTCTGATGTTCCTGGCTGCCACAACTAGCTTGCACATTCCAGTTCTCACTGGAAATGTCAGTGGCTGCTGGACACCACTTTGATAACTTTGATAACTAAGCTATCACTAAGTCTGTTGATTTGTCTCTTTAACACCTGCCAGGGTGTCCACTGTGCCCCTCTACCCTGCCATCTCCCTAGTGCACTGCTCTGCAAGGTTTGGTGCCAAAGTGCAGATGTGGGTTCAGCAGGTCTGGGATGGGACCCCGGGCTCCCCAGGTCCAGCAAGCCCCAGGTGCGACACCCCTGCAGCTGGTCTGCAGGCAACACCTGCATGGCAAGACCCCGGCTCTGCCGCCGCCGCCGCCTCGCGCTCTGCCACACTCCCAGGAGGCCTCCTGGGCTCTCTCCACGTGGCAGCAAGGTTTTTGTTGTTTTGGTTCTGTTTTTGTTTTTTAAGTTGGGAGAAGGAGATTATTTAATTCTATGTGAGTGGAACATGGCATAGAGAAAAATCATTCTTAGTCATAAATCAAGTATGCACCATTGAAACCATATATATTTTTTTTTAAATCATAGTATTTGAAAATTACAAGCTATTGTGCCTATCTCTATCCATCCTAATTATGGGGAAGAGTCACCCGTCACCAGGGCACTTCCAGAAGCCAAGTTTATTACCAGTAGCACTGGGGGCTCCGCTTTAGAGCGCTGTTTCTTCCCACAAAGACAACACATAACTGCGGGTGACATTTTATTTGCAAGAGCTCTGCCTTACCACTTGTGCTTCTAAATAAATTATGTAATTAGACTTTTTTTTTTTTTTTGAGAAAATAGCAGCCTCCCACGTAGCTATAAGAAATAATACAGAGAGACTCCATGTTCCCCTTGCCCAGATGTCCCCATGGGACACGTTGCAGCACTGCGACCAGGATATGGCACTGACCCAGGCAAAGTCCAGAGCATTCCCTTCACCACAGGGCCCTCATGGTGCCCTTGGAGACATGCCCACTTCTGCATGCCATGTAGATCCTCCTCCAAAAAGCAGCAGGTATTTTAAAAACAAAAATCCAAGCATGTTTCTTCTTGTTTGAAATCTGTCAGTGGCTTGTCATTGCCTTTAAGATGAAATTTCAAATCCCTAACAAGCCCTTCAGCGGAGCCTCTGCCTCCCTCTCACCCTCGGCCTCTCGGGGTCACCTCTGGTAGATTGCATAGCCAGGCAGCCGTCCACAGCTGCGGGCGAGCGCATGGGCTGCGGGCCACGTGCCCAGTCACAGGTGGCCAGGCTCCACCTGTCCTTAAAACCTCAGCCGAACAGCCACTTCCTCAAGGAAACCCACCCGCCCTCTCAGATGAGGTCTGGTTTCTACACCCTGAGCTCAGCGTGGTCCCGGCAGCAATGCAGGACGATTCTGTGAACGTGTCTCCCATAAACCATGAGCTCCGAGAGGGCAGGACCTCTCATGTTGCTTGCACATGCTAACCCTAAAATGGCAACGGTGACAGCACCACTTACATGAACCAGACGCTCTCCTAGGTGTTTTACCTACCTTAACAATGTAATTCCTACAACTCCACAAGGGCGGTACTCTCTTTATCTCCATTTAACAGATGAGGAGAGTGAAGCTGAGTGAGGAGGTGGCACCGCTCGTGTCGGCAGCGCTGGTCCGGACGTGGGCAAGTGGGGCTGGCGCCCACACGGTTAGGCGCAGTGGCCTGCCCTGTACACCTCCTGGCGCCCGCCAGGAGGGCAAAGAGACATGTTCCTGAGCTGCTGTCACAGCTCTCAGAGAAGTCACACGTGTACAGAAAGGTTACTGGGGGCTCTGATTCTAGTGAGATTAAATCTCAATAGTTTCCTTATTCAGTTGATTTTTTTTTAATAGCTTAAGTATTGGGTTAGAACTGAGTTAGAAAATTGAGATTTGCAAGTCCAAAGTATAAAGCATTGTACAAATGTTATTTTGTTTGTAGGGGGGTGAGTGAGACATTTGTTTTAAAAAACGTAGTGTGGGTTTTGAGGTATAAGATTTACGTAGGATCATACTATAAAATAGCCACAAACATTGGGCAAAACTCAAACACTCCCATGCAACCTCAAATCAACACTAAACAGTAAGTGAACAGACCTTAGGGAGGAAAAGTGCAAGTGTGTTTTCTAATGGTGAAACCATTCCCAGTGAAAATTAATTTATTGCCTAGTTAATAAGAGCCCCTCTGCCCTGGGCACATGGACACTTCATCCCAATGCTGATGTGATGCTTTTAGTTTTCTTTGTAAATGGAGCTAGCATTCGATGAGTGGCTGGTTCTGCTGCCCAACCTTTGGACTGTTTCCAAGCATAAAATTACAATTCCAGATAATCCTGTCACAAAGATCTGCATCTCATTAGGAGGGAGAGGAAGCCTGGAGATGACCCAGTCTAACCCCGTCAACCAAACAGCCAGGGCTTTCTCAGTTGTGTCACAAGTGATTTAAATGTTTTAGTAATCCTAAAAATCAATGTGCTTTTTCCATGAAAGGAAGTGTTACCACATTTTCCAAGTGGGAGGCATCTGTATACTTACTCCTTCTTCCTCTGATCCCCGCCCTCCTCCCCCCCCCACCCACACAGCATCTGTAGTTCTTAAACTAAAAGCACAAATTATTGTAAAAGTTAATTGGGCTTACAAAGGAATGCTTGTGTAGAAAACTTTCTCAGCTTCAGGGAGAAAAATCTGCTTGGAAAGGCTGTTCAGCAGCATAGAAATTGGTTTGTGGGAGGCACTCATAGGCCCTTAGGAGCGACCCCTTCTGCCACAGCGCCCAGACCTGACGCCACGCCAGGATAAACAGCTGCGGATGAGTCCAGTCGCGATGTAGAGCACACATGTAAGGTTTGCGCTTCTCTGGTTGCTGCCCTCAGTAATGGGCCATCAGCTTAAAATGAAAAACAAAAGCTTGCTTTAGATTACAGACTCACTAAAATATGTCCATTTCACCAGGTCTCAGCCTCGCAGGCACTTAGAAGGCCACTGGAAACCACCGCACGCGGCAGTGGTGCTGCAGGGACACGCAGAGCTCCAGGTGCCAGTAATGACTTTATCTCTGTCAACATGTTCTGTCAGATTGGATGGGACAGCCAGAGAAGCCAGGGTTGGCACAAGAACAAATAAAAAGGTTTCCCATCTCTTAGTGTGAATTGCTGAGCCTGGATTTGGTGCTTAGACGTGCTGAGGGGTGAGCAGCTTTCATTCCTGGTAGTTTTCTGGACCCAGCAATGTGGCTATACCCCCGTGCTCCCTCCTCCCCTCACTCAGCCACCAGGAGTCTCGGAGACTCACCCTCTCGAGCAACTGGGTGAGGCTTCTTCCCCTGTAGGGTTCCTGGTGAATGCCTTGTAATTCTGCTTAACAGGACCTGCCTTCTGAAAGCTACTTCTGATGACCAAAAGCAGCTCATATGACTCCTTGCAGATAGTCTGCAATTGTCCCCAATGGGAAAAGAGTTCACAGCTATTACTGACAGATAAGGAAATCCACTCATTTGTTCTTTGGCCTAGAATTATTGACATGGGGAGCAGCTTCACCTAGTTGTTGCACCTAAATAGAAAGGCTATTTAACAAAGTTTAAGAAAGAAGAAAATTACAAAATGCTTTCTGTAAGCAAAGTGAAACATAAGAGAAAAGCTGAAGATAGGGCTTTTTTAAAAAAACGAAATATGCTTTATGACTCACCCGTGTGTGTTATTTGTACGTATTCTCTTGCATAATAATTAATAATGAAGCAAAGGATGATCATGTTGTGTTTTCTTGTCTGTTATTCTAATTTCTTGTCTGTTATTTCCATGTTTTGGGAGAATATTGCTCTGGTTAAATGTCAAATACTTTCAATCAGAAAATGGGTTTTTAACAATAGAATTCTGTATCTGCATTCAACAGCAAATGTAATTCTGTTAATATTAAGCTAGTAGGATGTGACAGAAAACTTAAACCTAGGAGAGACCCAAGCAAGGAAAAATACTTCCTCATCCAAGCTGGAGAGGAATTTGCCATCGTCCCTACAATTAACAGATGAAACAGAGATTCCATTTTCATTGCTCAACTGCCACATTCAGTATTAAACTCTACAGAAAAGGGAATGGAGTCTGTTGACTTGAAAACTTATATATGATGTTAATGCAGATATTTCAGTAATTCAGCAATATTTATTCTTTTATTGCCTACTGAATTTCTTGAAATAATAAACTAAAGGAAACAAAGTGTTTACTGTTCTCTGATGACATATTATCTATTTAAAGAGACGAAACTTGCTGTGAAACAACAGAATGCTTTCTCCATGCAAGCATGAGCAAGGCTCACACATAAGAGACAGCCACAGGGGCTAAGGAAGCCAGGGCAGGATCTGGATGGGGCAATCTTTGCAGAGGATGTCCTTGTGCAGGAGGCCAGACACATGGAATTCCCAGGAGAACTGCAGAAGAGTGGAATCTGCAGGAAAGCTCTGGGGTGAGCAGAGAGGTGAGAAGCGATCATTACCCGGAAATATCTGCAGGGCCATAAGGTAGAGGAGAAACAAATTGTGTCTGTATTAAGCCAGAGCAAATTACCAGGTGACTCGTCTCAGATCAGTGTAAGGGACAATTTCGTGATGAAGTTGTCAATATAAAAGTGGACTGCTTCACACTCTTAGCGAGGTTGCAAACCCTGGCCACTCATGTGGCCCAGTGCACGTGGGGTAGGGGTCGCTATCCAAGGCTAACGTGATGCCCCACACACAACACACGCAAGTGACAGTCCCCAGCCCCTGCATTTCCCTCTCAGTTTTTAGGATCTTGTATCTTATTTCAATTCCACTATTTAGCTGATGATGAAATAGGAAAAGCTTAGCTCTGAGAAAATTCTTTCGGAGTTTGGCCTTGCTTGGGGGGATGAATCACTTCAACCAGGTTCATCTTCTCGAAAGTACAAGATAAAGGAGATCCTAATCATATACTTCCTGACCTCCTCTTGGACTTTCCTCTAAAACATGGGCCGGCACAGCACAGCCCACGGGTCCAATCCAACCTGCCACCAGCTTTTGCAAGTAAAATTTTACTGGAGCTTGACCACGCACATTCATTTGTTTATTGTCTGCGGTTGTTTTCATACTATACCAGCAGATTTGAGTAGTTGGGACAGAGACCGTATGATCCTCAAATCTGAAAACATTTGCTCTCTGGCTGTTCCAGGACGGGTGTGCTGCCCATGGCTCTGGAGCACCATGAGGGACACTTCAGACTCTCTCCTCTAGACGTAGACCTGTGGCCAGCAAAGCCAGCTCTGGTGCACATTCCAGACTCAGGTTTTTTCAGGCAGGGAAGTCATCTAATGTCAAGTGGTCATTGCTAGAACTGCTAGTTTTAGTTGATGGCTCTCCTTGTGGAGGGGCTAATGTGTTCCAGAGACAACAGTACTGCCCTATGGCAAGAGTTTCCTGAGCCAAAATTAAGATCCTTCTGTGGCAGAAACTTAGTTTGGACTTCTCTTGAGTTAACTTGGTAGTTGTTAGTGACTTCTGAGTCAGTTTTCCTACGCCAGCAAACCCAGGAAGGGAAGGCGCTTTCCTCTCCACACTGCCAGGTCCCCTTGCCCACTTGCAAATGAAACTAAAAGGAATATTTAAATGAAGTAGGAGTAAGTGAAAAGATTGTTCACTTAAAAATAATCATTAAATAAAAACACGTGCACCACTGCACACAGATCCAATTCTGCTTGGAAAACCACCACCAGGGTCAGGCGAGGCCCTTTTCTAAATGCAAAACAGCAACAGAGGAAAATGAGAAGTGTCCTGAGCAGCAAGCCGGCAGTGAATCCTCCACAAAGGCACACAGAGGTGTGGCTTCCTCAGCTTTGAGTGCCCAGCACGGGCGCCCAGGTCAGCTGTGGTCCAGATGCCTTCCTTTCAAGCCGTGGGCTAGTCCCTGTGACCCTGGCGGCCGGTTAGCTGTGTCAGCATCAGCTGTTCCACCTCCCTGCGAGATTCCAGGCGCTTGGCCAGGCCGCAGCCCAGCGTGAGTGAGCGGGAGGACGCGGGGCCGTTTCCGAGAGAGCTAGAGACAGGGAAGCGACTCCTCCATCTGGGAAGCCATCCAGATTTCACTCGCCCTTAGTGACAGTTACTAAGGCCTCACCAAATGTGCCTGGTGCCTTGACCGGGGACTCGCCCTCTCACTAAGTCTCCCAGGAGGCAAGGCACATTAGTCCCTGATTTATAAGAAAAAAAACGCTCAAAGTGACTAAGAAGTTGCCTCGGTAGTGGTGGAACCAGGATTTCAATTCAGACTTTGTGACCCAGGTCACTGGCGTGCCAATGGTATGTCATTGTTTATTGTCGTCACCAAACAGCTCAGGGATTAGCTTGCCACTTATTTATTGATGTTTTTACTTTTCAAACACTTCATGACATAAACATAAGCAGTGGTTCAGTGTCTCTGCTGGTGATTTGCCTTGTTTCTGTAATGTGAACATAAAGCAGGCATAGAGGCTGTGCTTTGGTGAAATTGAGCCAGTAATTTTGGGGGGAAAATTATTTTTCTCCTTTCACCACTTCCCATTTGTTCCCAGGTGAAAAGGATGGGATGACTACCACAATTCCAACCTGAGGCCGCATGGTGGGAGCTCAGAGGTGAGAGCGGCGTGGAAACCCTGACTTGTGCCCCATTCCCCGCCTAGCCTCCTCTAGCACCCAGAGTCACTGTGCTTCCTCCTGCCCCCAGCGTCCTGTTCCCGTAGGATCTGAGAGTTCCACGTCTGACCCTCAGGGCGGCCCACGGAAGGTCCTAGGACCTCCTGCCAGTTCGTGCACCATCGCCCAGCTTTGCTGGGGCCCTGCGAGAGCAGCACTCAGGAGGGTCCCCACGCACAGGCCATGGGATAGTGACTGTCACAGTGGCCAAGCAGCTAGACCTGGCCTTGCTGCAGCCAAGTGCTGTTGAGGTCACGGTCATGGTGGAGCGCAAGGAGCATCTCTGTTCTCAGAAGAAGGCTCAGTGGTGTCAGCCTTCTACTGGTGTCTTTAGTTTAAATTTTTGGTTGTCATTAGCTTTTCGCTTTTTCTTGAGGGGGGAGGGAGCATTGTTACTTGTGTGTTTGTTTTTTTCTTAATGCTCTGGGTAAACCCATATAAATGTGGGTATATTTATAAAGATGTCCTTAAAACGCAATTGTGCATTAGAGACTGACTATTTTATTTTATTTTTATTTTTTGAGACAGAGTCTCACTCTGTTGCTTGGGCTGGAGTGCGGTGGCATCAGCCTAGCTCACAGCAACCTCAAACTCCTGGGCTCAAGCAATCCTTCTGCCTCAGCCTCCCAAGTAGCTGGGACTACAGGCATGCGCCACCATGCCTGGCTAATTTTTTCTATTTTTAGTAGAGACCGGGTCTCATTCTTTCTCAGGCTGGTCTCGAACTCCTGAGTTCAAACGATCCACCTGCCTTGGCCTCCCAGAGTGCTAGGATTATAGGTGTGAGCCACAGTGTCTGGCTGAGACTGATAAACGTGGGTAAAAATAGAAGAAAACATTTCAAAGAACATTCAAATCACCTTGGGATAGGAGTGGGCATGCACTGTCACATAGAATCCAAACAGAGTCTCTCTGCAGAGAAACACTTGCAAAACAAGGAAGAAGGAATTATTTTATTTCCTTGCAAATTACAAATCTTTTTCAAGATTTTTGTTCATAGGAAAAATGGAAGATGTGATTCTTATAGATAACTATAAATAAACCAGAAAGAATAACTTGTGCCCCCAGATTAAAATTCAGGAAATGACCCAAAGGAGAGGAATACAGGAAAAATGGGGGGAAAAAAAACAAATGAGAGAAACTTCATTTTTTTAAGTGAGGTTGTGGGGGCTCTGGGGGGGAAGGGGGAAGCACTGGAGAGCAGGGAGGAGGGGGGGGTCTAGGAGCACTGGGGTTGTGGGGGTGCAGGGAACTCAGGGGAGGCGCGGGCGGGGCTGGGGCACAGAGTTGTGGGGCGCGTGGGGAGCTCAGGGACGGGGGGGGCAGGTCTGGGGCACGGGGTTGTGGAAGCTCGGGAGAGGGCTCGGAGCGCAGGGTCTGTGGGGGCGCGGGTTGGGCTCAGGGAGCGTGGGGACTGTGGGGTGCAGGGCTGTGGGGCACGGGGGACCCAGGGTGTGGGAGCGCAGGGGGTGCTGGGAGTGCGGGGTGGCTGGGGAGTGCGGGGGTGGGGGCGGCGTAGGGGCGGGCGTGGGGTTGTGGAGAGAGGACCTCGGGGAGCGTGGGGGGGGGGGGCGTTCCTTTCCCAGACGTCCCCGGGCCCAGCCAGCGATAATCATCCGTGTCCGGTCACCGCATGCCCGCACGCCCTGGCCTGCGCGCCCCAGCTGCCCGCCTCAGCTGTGCCCTTCCCAGCGCCTCTCTCTGACGCCGGACGGCGGCGCGCTGGGGACTGGGGCGGAGGCGTGAGTGTGGCTGAGGCCCACAGGCTGGGTTAGGGTGCAGGGTGCCGGGTGCGAGCCCTGAGGCGTCCCGACCGCAGGGACTGGCGCGCCCTGGCCGCAGTGGAGACGCTTGCCCACTGCGTCCCCCCTGGAGGGAAAGCCGGGCCCCGCGGTCCCACAGAGAGATCTTAAACCGAACCCAGGATCCTGTCCTTTCTTCAGCGTGCCCTGCTCCGTGTTCAGGTTCAAGGAATACTCCAGCCACGTGCAGGCCTAATTCTATGTAAATAATGTTTTCCTCTATCTGTGAATTTTTGTTCAGTACATATCCATGTGTTTAAAATATAGAAGATCTGAGAAATGGGCTGCCAAGGCAAAATATGTTGCCAGGCACATAGTAGGTACTCAAAACAGATTTATTGGATTGAAAAAATGTCAGACCAATGGAAATCTTTTTTATTCCACTTTTGTTTCTTATAGTTCAATAACAGGTCAAATTCATGTCTGATTTACCAGCTATTCAACTGCCCATAAAAGATGGAGTGATTCCTCTGTGATTTAAGATTATTAATTTAAAAACTAGTAGGGGTAAAAATAGTTTGCTGGTATCTTTGAAGACATGTAGGCAGAAATAAATCACAGTGGTTACTGACAAGGGAAAGCCTCAGTGTTGTACACAATTCCTGCTTAGAAATTTGTGATTTAAGAAACTTGGTGTACAGGATCTCTGCTGCTCGGCTGCTCTGTGAAAGTCGTAGAGCTGGTCCGGTTTTAGCCGGAGTCCACTGAGACCTAGGGGGCTGAGATAATTGGCGGAGGATCATCTCATGATACCATCACGGTCTTCATGCTGATGGCACCGGAAACATATCCCACAACCCCAGAGAGTGGGACACAACCTACAAAGGTATCCTAACTCTACTTGGTACATTTTTACAAATCACAAACTTAGCTTGAGGTTACTGTAATGACTAGCAGGAGCCCAGGGATGAAGTGAACCAGGTTTGGAGTTGTTTCCCAACTCAAAATAAGAGCTGTTATTTTGAAGTCTTCTGCTTGTTAACTTAATTAGAGTTACTTGAGTATGCAGCTGTGTCAGGCATGCCAAAGCTTGGCGTGTCTGGTCCAGTAGGCATGTTATAACGCACATGGCAAATTATCAAAGAGGACTTTTTGAGTATTGCATGTGTGTTTCCATGTTGCAATGCAGATTCAAATTCAGTTTGACAAGCATCTCCAGGTGCCTTCCAACTAAGAACTATGTATTAGTTGTGAAATAAAATATATTAAAATAAGGAACCACTGAGAAAAACAAAGTTTTGTAAAATGAAGAAAAATTTTCTTCATAGTTATGAGACTTTTCCCATTCCACAAAACCTTTGATTAAACCCACAGTGAAAATTTAAATGCTGCTGTGTATTTACTTTTGTTTTTCCAATTATTTCATGACGACTCACAACCATAGACTGTTTTAGTTCCTATTATTGCAAACTATCATGTAAGTTAAATAAGTTTCATAGACTAGTCTGATACTGTAACCACAGTTGACAGCACTATTTCTATGGGATAATTGAGGATCTTAATAGTTGTACGTGATCATTTCTCCATTAAAAAATACATTTTATTAAAATAGCCATCTGTGACCTTGTTCAACATAGATTTTTGTAATATTCTCCTTGGCAACCTCTTATTTTAAAGTAATACATGGTTACTGTGGAAAATTTGAAAACTGTAAAAACTATGAAGAAGAAATAAGAAAAACACCCAGAAATCCATCATTAAGAAAAGACCATTGTTAATAACATGGTCTGTTTTCTTCCTGTCACATTTCTGTGCTTTTTAGCATAGTTGATATATATATATATATATATATATACACACATTTTGAAATTGCAGTAAACCACAATAAATTGTAAATCCTAATATAATGAAACCACTGCAAATTCACTGAGTATCTTTTTCTTATATATATTTTGAATATATATTCAAAATATATAAAAATATATATAATTTATATATATTATATATAATTTACATATATTTATTTATATAATTTACATATATTTATATATAAATATATATAATAAGATATTATGTAAATATCTTATTTGAGATTTCCTTAAACCTTTCAGCATGAACTTGGAAAAAATCCTCCTTTCACTTTTAAAGCTTAATTAAATATCTACCTAGACTAGAAAAATTTTACAATGACCATTGAGAAACTGGGGAGATTGTCACTCTACAAACACATCCAGCCTCCGTCTTCTCCTCCTCTGTCAGACGTGTGGGGCAAAGGCAAAGAAACTCAGATCAGGCAGTTTAACCCTTCGATTCCTTTATTCTACTCGGGATTTAATTTTTTAAATACCCCAGATTTTACAAAGCGCAGCAGTAGAATAAAAAACTGGAGTTTCTTTTCATACAAACTTATTTATTTGAATTTTTTTATATTTCTAATTATTGATACATTCAAAGAGTAATTTTAATCTCTATAATTTTTGCTAACTGTGTCGAGTCACACTCGACATCCAAGTGCAAATGGTTAAGACTTTGGTCACATGGTCACCCATTGCTTTCACACCAAAAATGTCAATGCAACAACATGTGTGTGTACTTCACAACAATCTAATGAGATATACATATGTAGAGAGAGACTTCAACTTACCATAGTTTGATTTAGGAGTTTTTGACTTTACAATGGTGTGAAAGCAACACACATTCAGTAGGAACCACATTTCAAATTTTGAGTTTTGATCTTCTCCTAGGCTAATGATAGGAGGTGAAATACTCTCTTGCTATGCTGGGCGGTGGCGAGCGGCCTCACCTCCGTCAGCCAGGAGATCAGGAGAGTCAAAAACTGGTGCTCGACAGTGGACTGTGTTGCCAACATTTTTAGAATCTTGTGTTTTGTGTTTCTGCATCCCATCATGTCTACAAAATGGCCATACTCAATAATATGTTTAACTTGGGATGGGTTTATCAGGACATAGCCCCATCATAAGTCAAGGAGCATCGTATATGTATATGGTGGGGAGAGATGGATAGCAAATGCATAAACAAACCAATTTTTTATTATTTTTAAGTGATTACTATTTAATAATAAGTAGTGGTCACTGTAGAAAGAAAAGAAAGGATAATGTGACAGCTCATAGATGTGAGTACTTAAGCTAATGTGGTTGCAGAACAAGCTTTCCTGGGGGGCGGGGCCATCTGTGCAGA